GGGCTGGGGATTCGAACCCGCCACCTTAGGTGTACGTGGCTGGCGCCTTAGCCAGTTAAGCTATAGGCGCCGAGCCAAGACCTCTTCAAATCTCCGTTTCTGTGTAAAATCTCAGGAGTCCTTATAGGGTGAGGCTCAGATACTTCCAGTGTTTTTCTTTATGTGATTTTTATTAACTGTCCAAATTTAAAAAAATGAAAAAGATTTAAAAGTTATATAAACATTCAGCTGCATGTTATAATACATAGTGTCCTTGATTATCAACTCCTCTGTGTTCAAAGCTCAGTGGAACAAGCTGGATTGAGCTGCATTTGTGCTGGCTTTGCAGTAGGCACTGTTGGTTCAAGGAAAAGGTGGCCAATGTGATTGTATCAGAGTTGCTTTGAATGGTCCTTGACTCAGGCTAAGCCCAGATTAGGGGCTGACTCTCCTGGTATCCTCAGCCCAGTCACCTAGCGTGGGAGTTGTGACACCTGATGGGAGTACAAGAAGGCCTGGGAGCTTGTCCTCTAATATTCAATGCCTGGTGTCCCTTCCTCTGTCAGAAACTCATGTGTACTATATATTGTCTTGTTGAAAAGACACAGGAGAGCACTTGATTTTACTAATTCTAGATTTTATATTCTTTATGGCAAAGATTGGTTTGGTTATTACTGAATGCTCAGTACCTAACATATGGTAAAAATGGTTTCAATGTTGAAAGTTCCCAGGACACTAACAATGTTATATTTTATAGATATGGCTATTTAGGTTTGCATCACTTTGAAGAGGCTAAATAATTTTTTCTTCATGTTTTCCCTACTCAATTAGGTTTTCAAGCTAGAAATGCCCTTCTTCAGTCAAATCTTTCTCAGACTCAGCTGGCTACTATTTGGTGAGTTTGTCCATTAATTATAAATTTTAACTGTATATCCTTTATTATAAGAAAGATAAAGTTTATGTGAAAGTTTGTGGCTCAAAGATGTTCCATAAAAGCACCCCATTTGAAAATTAATGTGGACCTTGAAAGCAAATATAACTATAAAACATAGTTTTACACACTTAGGCTATACTAAATTTATAAAATAATTAACCTTGGTTTACTATATCTTTTTAATTTTTTTAAAGCTTTTTGACTCTTAGCTTAACATACAAATACATTTGAACAGCTATGCCAAGATATTTTCTTTCTTTAATCCTTACTCTGTAATCTTTTTTCTATTTTTAAAGTTTACTTTATTTTTTTACTTCTTTTTTTTTGTGTGTGTGACAGTCTCACTTTGTTGTTCTCTGTAGAATGCCATGGTGTCATAGCTCACAGCAACCTCAGACTTCTGGGCTCAAGGGATTCTTTCATCTCATCCTCCCTAGTAGCTAGGATTACAGGAACTCACCACGATGCCTGGCTGTTTTTAGAGACAGAGTCTCACTCTTGCTCAGGCTGGTGCTGAACACCTCAGCTCAGGCAGTCCGCGCACCTCGGCCTCCCAGAGTGCTGGGATTACAGGCCTGAGCCACTGAGCCCAGTCCTTTTTTTTTTTTTTTTACTTTCTAAACTTAGTTAAAAATTAAGACACAAATATACACATTAGCCTAGGCCCCACTGGGGTCAGGATCACTGTCTTCCACCTCTACGTCTTTCCCCACTAGAAGGTTCTCAGGGGCTTTAACTTGCATGGAGCTGTCATCTTCTATGACAGTAATGCCCAGAACAGTGGTTCTCAACCTTCCTAATGCCACAACCCTTTAATACAGTTCCTGTGGGTCACAACCCACAGGTTGAGAACTGCTGCTCTAGAATATTTCCCCGGGGAACTGCCTGAAGCTGTTTCACAGTTAACTTTTTTTTTCATAAGTAGGAGTATATACGCTGACAATGAAAAGTATAACATGATAAATATATAAACCAGCAAGCTAGCTGTTCATTATTTTTATTATCAAGTATTATGTACAGCACATAATTGTATGTACTATACTTTTATACAACTGGGAGTGAAGTAGATGTGTTCACATCAGCATCACCACAAACATATAAATAATGTGTTGTGTTAAGACAGCTACCATGGCACTAGGCAATAGGAATTTTTCAGCTCCATTATAATCTGATGGAGCCACAATGATATATGTTGACTGAAACATCATTATGTGGTACGTGACTGTATTTTGCAAGTAAAACTGTTGTATGCTTTTACCTAGGTATAGAGGGTCAGAGAATACCTCATTTTTAATATACAGATAAATGTGATTTTGATAGATGACTTAACCATGAAATAAGACAAGTCGCTTTCCCAGAAAGGGTATTTTTTCCTTTGTATTTAAAAGTCTCTTCTCTTCTCTTTTGTGTTATAAAAATTAAGGGTAAAAACCAACTTACTATTAAATGTAAATATGTATACATTTACATTTCACCAAAATAAATTTATCTAACAGTTTTACCGTTATTTTCCTTATTTTTAAAATAAATAATTAAGCTCTTCAGACAATATTTTACTCTAAATAGACTGTGTTTCTAAGCTGTGATAATTTTTAACACATTTTCTTAAGGACTCTGGCTGACATTGATGGTGATGGACAGCTAAAAGCAGAAGAGTTTATCCTTGCAATGCACCTCACTGATGTAGCCAAAGCTGGACAACCCTTACCACTGACTTTACCTCCTGAACTTGTCCCTCCTTCTTTCAGGTGAGTGCTCTAGAGGTGGAGAGCTATGGTTTTGATAGCTTGGCAGATGTGATTTTCTTTGGGGACTTACTGAGTTACAAGTGACTTGAATATTTGCTCTACCATTTGATTTTAGTATTCAAGTGGGTTACACTAAAGGAGTATACTAGAAGTAGGTGTGTTTTCACCATGTTATGGATAAGGAAACTTATGACTAAAGAGATTGCCCAAGAATAACAATTAGTTGAACTGTGATTTGAATTCATTTCTGGCTTGAACATCCATGTACTACTATATATCATAACTATAGACTATACTGTGTTTCAAATATCTTTAATACCATATTTTCAACACTAAATTACTTTAATCTTTGGTAGTCTATATTTTCAGACTGAAAATTTTCATGCTATGATATTGGGCATGATGGCTCACACCTGAATCCTAGTATTCTAGGAGGCTGAGGCGGTTGGATTGCCTGAGTTCACAGGCTCAAGACCAACCTGAGCAAGTGCGAGATCCCATCTCTAAAAAATAACCAGGTGTTGTGGCCGATACCTGTAGTCCCAGCTACTCGGGAGGATGAGACAAGAGAATCTCTTGAGCCCAGGAGTTGGAGGTTGCTGTGAGCTGTGATGCCACAGCACTCTACCAAGGGCAACAAAATGAGACTCTATCTTAAGAAAAAAAAAATTCATGCTACATACATGATGCTAAATTAGTGTGTTGTTTGAATGTTTTTTTTAGAGGTGGAAAGCAAATTGATTCCATTAATGGAACTCTGCCTTCATATCAGAAAATGCAAGAAGAGGAACCCCAGAAGAAATTACCAGGTAGCATCTGGTGTCTGAGTTGTAAATTTACAGTTTGTTTATCTTTTAAATTCTACATTTAAATGTAACTGAATATTCATATATCATTTAACTGAATCTTTTAAATTCTACCTTTAAATGTAATTGAAATTTTTACATTCTTAATATGCATATTGTATGAAAACATGATTTGATGAATGGGATGAATTTTGTCATCAACACAGTAAAGACAGTCAAAATGAGAAGAAGAGTATGCAGGAATAAGAGACAGTATATGTATTTGACAGGATTGTAGACATCCCAGTTCATTCCTGCTTTAAGCAGAATCATTCAAGCAAGCTTTGTGATTACATGTTTAGCTTTTAAAAAGTTTGAATATTGGCCAGGTATGTAGGCTTAAACCTGTAATTTTAGCACTCTGGGAGGCTGAGGTGGGTGGATTACTTGAGCTCAGGAGTTCAAGACCAACCTGAGCAAGAGCAAGACCTTATCTCTACTAAAAATAGAAAAACTAGCCTGGCGTTGTGGCTAGTACCAGTAGTCCCAGCTATTTGGGAGGCTGAGGCAAGGGGATCACTTGAGCCGAAGAGTTTGAGGTTGCTATGAGCTGTGTTGCCACGGTACTCTACTAAGGGCATCAAAGTGAGACTCTTTCTCAAAATAAATAAAAATTTGAAAGTTTAAATTTTATTTGAAAAGTACATTTATTTGTACCTGTTTTAACATACTGAAAAGTAAATGAAATGACATTAATCAAGTAAAACAAATGTATAGCTACACAGCTTAAAGAAAATGCTGAGAAAAAAGTTGAAAAAGTATTTTTTTTTCCCAAGGATACTAAAATTATTTCTTGGGTGATTCAAACTTATAAATTTGTTTTCTAAAAATGAATATCCTTAGGGAAAAAGTGAATATTTTTCCATTTATATTTGAGTTAAAATTATCCTTAGGAGAAATATCCAAATGGTAATAGTACCTAAACAATCACAAGAAATAAAAAGTATGTTGGAACTAGGTTACAGGTTCTGCAGGTTTTTCATGTGTGAAAATGCTTACAATATACCTTATTTAGTTACTTTCGAGGATAAGCGAAAAGCCAACTATGAGCGAGGGAACATGGAACTGGAGAAGCGACGCCAAGCCTTGTTGGAGCAACAGCAGAGGGAGGCAGAACGTAAAGCCCAGAAAGAAAAAGAAGAGTGGGAACGCAAACAGAGAGAATTGCAAGAGCAAGAATGGAAGAAACAACTTGAATTAGAAAAACGCTTGGAGAAACAGAGGGAATTGGAGAGACAGCGAGAGGAAGAAAGGAGAAAAGAGATAGAAAGACGAGAGGTTAGGTTATTTTATTTTCTAAGAAACATAACATTTAATAAATGACTACATTTCATTTGATTAAAAAATGCTTGTTTTTAAAGTTTTGTGTTGTGCCTTTTCCTCTGTATCATTTAATTCTTTCTTATCCTACACAAATCTGAATCTTCCTTTCCTTGAAGGGGGAGAGAGGGTCTTTGGATATAAGAGATTTTTAGAGCTTATAAATAGTAAAAAAGCATCTGTGTGGGCTTTATCCCAATCAAGGGAGGATGGATTGCAAAGCTACACTGAGTGAGGAGTGCAGGTTAGTCAGCCCCCTGAGCAAGGCATTAACAACGGAAGCAAGTTTAGGATACAGATTAAGAATCCAAGGAATTGAAAAAGCAAAAAGATCAGAGCAGGGAGTTGAAGATCTAGAGAGGAATCAAGACAATGGTCTTGCACAGGTAGTTGGAATATCATTCTGTATGTGGGGACTGGCTCTAGGAGGACTGGCTGTGTTTTAAAGGCCAGAGATGGAGCACAATTTATTATTGTGCACCAAAGTAACGTAAATAGAATTTTTTCTTTTCTGATACCAGAACAGAGGTGTAATTATTCCTATTAATATTTATGTTTATACAGCTCAGCACCCATAGCTCAGTGGTTACGGTGCCAGCCACATACACTGAGGCTGGCAGGTTCAAGCCCGGCTTGGGCCAGCTAAACAATGATAACTACAACAACAACAAAAAATAGCCAGGTGTTGTGGCGGGTGCCTGTAGTTCCAGCTATTTGGGAGGCTGAGGCAAGAGAATCGTTTAAGCCCAAGAGTCAGAGGTTGCTGTGAGCTATGATGCCACAGCACTCTAGCCAGGGCGACAGCTTGAGATTCTGTCTCCAAAAAAAAAAAGCCATCCTTTTGCTTGTTAAGAGAAAAGTGGCTGTAACAAAAGAATGTTCTTGTGAAGAAATCAGAAAGTCTGATGGATGAAGCCACTTTCATGGAAGTCTTTAGGCCTGTTGAAAAACTACCTTAGGCACTGTAGCTGCTGAGTGCTAAATGCTGCCTCACCTTTATTTTTGTCTTCCCGTCAGTTTTTGAATGCTGCGGTTTTTATTTTGTTTTGTTTCTTAAGAGAAGGGGTCTCACTCTGTGGCTCAGGCTGAAGAACAATGGCATGGTAGCTCACTGCAGCCTCAAACTCCTGGGCTCAAGTAGTTCTCCTGCCTCAGTCACCTGAAAAGTTAAGAATACAGGCATGCATCATCATGGCTTACTAATTTTTTTTTTTTTTTTTTTGAGACAGAGCCTCAAGCTGTCCCCCTGGGTAGAGTGCCAT